TGGGGAGGAGGATGTGGGGGGGGGGGGGGGGGGTGGCCTTTTTTTTTGTGGAGGGTTGGAAAAAGATAAAAGGAGAAAAAAAGAAGAGGAGGAAAAAAGAAAAAGGGGGCACCCGGATTTGAACCGGGGACCTCTTGATCTGCAGTCAAATGCTCTGCCACTGAGCTATACCCCCACCTGCTTAGGTTGCTAGCTTGGGGACATCTCAGAGCGGACTCCTGGCCCTGGGGATGTCCCTGGGATGCTCTGGGGGTGCTGCCCCACTCGGACCTTCGCCTGCTCCCCCCCTTCCCGGGGGCCTCCAGCAGACAATGGAAAAGAGGTGGGAGCGAAGCTGCAGCCCAGAGGAGGAAGAGCAGCGCAGCCCATTCCAAACAACTCCAAAGGGCCATTTTCTTGCCAGGTTTTCCAGAAAGGTAACGGCTGGTTTCACCGCCGCAGCGTGCGCTGCCCTTTGCAGCGTCCAGGTGTCCATCCTCATCAGGCGCGTTGGCAGCAAGGGGAGCGTGTGCACACACACGAGCGCTGAAATTGCAGCAATCACCAGGCGAAGGGCGACCAGCCCACGGCGATGCCTGGGCAATCCCTGCCCAGTTCCCTCCCGGCTCCTACAGGCTGAGCGCTTGCAGCCTGCGCAGAGGTTTCCCAGGCTCATCCCTGTGCCCTCTCGTTTTGCACCCTTATGTCAATACGGTTAAGAGTGAGCCGGGGCCGCCACGCATGGCGAGCAAGCCGCCACGGTGACCTCCCCAGGCTCTGCCCTACGGAAACCACCTGGGGAAGCGCTTGCCCTTGCAGCCCCCAAGTCCTGCTTGCACCACGAAACTGCCGAGATGTTTGCTCGGAGCTGCAAAGCAGGGGGCTTTGGTGGGCTGCAAGCAGGATGCCGGAAGGGCCAGGATCCTGGGAGGGCTGGGGACGCAGGAGGTGGGAGCAACGCGCTCACTCCTGCTCCACAGCACTGCTCGAAAAATGGGACGTTTTGTGTAGTTTCCTCACCAAGACGATTCACTTGGACACAGGTCACCTCCGGAGCAGCTCTCCCCGCGGCACTATGGGGATGAACAGCCCAGGCCTTCGAGGAGCCAGACATGGAGGGCTGAGGACTAGGAGTCTTACCAGAAAAGCAGGACCGAGAGCCGCAAATAGTTACTTTACAAGCTAGTGAAAAACATTTGCAGCCAGCTGATTTATGTGAATGTTTCACGGCTCCTGCTCGAGAAAGCTTTATCAGGAATGCTGCTGAAGAACGGCGCGTCTCGAGCCACGCTCTTGACAGTAAGTCAAGAAATGAATTTTTCTGTGTTATCAGAAAGAATTGCCCTTGTCCATTTTTTTGCCTCCACATTAATTTTCAGCCCTAAGTGATTTTGCAAATCCCAGTGTAATTTATCCACAACATGAAAGAATTTTTTTCCCAGTGGCAGTAAATGATTTTTGATTTACTTGGGAAGTGTCTAAATCTAATTTTGAGAGGAAAGCACGAGTGATGCTGGTTGTAATATTTCATCTACCCTATCCTCTGAGTACTCTGCACAGTGCTAAGGAAGTATCTTGACAGCTTGGAATCAAATAATGGGAAATACACGTTTAAAATAATAACTTCAGTAAGCGGAGAAATATCCTGTCATTTCATGGCTATAAAATCAACCACTAACAGTAAACATGCGGTTTGCAGCTAATGAGAGACAAATACCGCAGCACTGTCTGGCATAACAACCTCAACATATTGCAGTGCAGTTTCATCTGACGCATCTTTTCTACGCGGGATGCCCAGAAAGGCCATCAGCTCTCACCATCACTGCTGCAAAATTATCGGTAAAAAATTACAGGCCAAACCATGGAGTGAATTTGCTCTTCCCAAGAAGATCACGGAGGAGGGACTGCTTCGTCTCTGCATTCATTTTCCATGTGCCCAGTCCACGTGGGAGCTGCTCAGCCCGCGCAGCGGGGACGGGGCAGACAGGGACGCGCCGTTTCCCGGCGGCTCCCGGGAGCGCGGGGCAGGAGCCGGGTGCGGACGCTTCCCAGAGACTCCTGGGCGGAAAGAGAGGCGCAGCTGGAGCAGGGGCCTTGGGAGAGCCGGGGGCTGAGCGGCTTCGGGATGTGCAGGGGGCACGGCCGGATCGGGACCACGCGTGTGAAGCATCCCCTGCCAACACGCTGACGAGCAGCTGATGGTGTCTGGCTGATGAGCAGCCTCAGTCACCCAGCCGCTTCTGCGGAGCTAAGGAAGGAAAAACCACCCACAGCAGCATCCCAGCGAGCCGGATAAACAGAAAAAGTCTGTCTTATTTTAAGCCGAGACGGGCCAGGAAAGGGTGGGAGGCTGTTTCAGGGGGCTGGGGAGTGTTGTGCAAGGTGATCAGAAAGGGAAGGAGTGGGTGTCTTTGCCAGAGGATCAGATAAGCTGCTTTTAAAATGAAGGAAGGCAAATTAAAGCGGCATCCTGAAATGAATAAGGGGAGCGCAGAGCTGACTGCAGCCTCCTTGGATGTGGGTGTGCTTTAGTAAAGCGCGCCTCCCAGTAACGATGGCTAAGGGTTGCTCTTTTGTAACACGCTTAAGGAAGGGAGAACATTGGGGGAATTAAGGTGTAGTTATCTCCCTGAGAGCAATTGAATTCATGTTCTTGCTGAGCCTTTGGTGATATAATAACCTAAGCAGGCTGGAGTCTAGACTACCCACCTCTGAGTGCAAGTGGCTGTAAAAGACCCAACGCACACACACGCGGGAAACACACGT